CATCGACAACGCAGTCCTCCTCAACCACTGCGAGTACAACATCCGAGACGTCTACCACCACAGAGACCTCCAGCACGACTGCGAGTACGACGTCCGAGACTTCTAGCACGACTATGTCTTCCAGTTCGACACGAACAACTGCTTCGGTCTCCTCCACCACAACCGCAACCGTGACCCCGAATTACGTCTTGCTGGATGCTGGCGAGACGTGCGAGTCGCAGGGCTATGAAGAGATCCCGGATTCTCAGACGTGCTTCGTGGATGCGCAGAGCAGAGTCGCAGACCTCTCTACGGTGACCCAGACTTTTTCAGTTCCTGCCGAATCCTTTTCCTGCTCGTTTCAGTACGGCTTTCTTTTCTTTGGCAACGGAGCCGCTGGAGCCGCTGACGACGAAAGACGCTACGTCTGCCAAGGAGTGCCACCAGAGACTTCGACTTCTACCGGGACGACCGCAAGCACGTCCGTGACAACTAGCACCCAAAGATACGATCCCACCAACGTGACCTATCCAGACATTTGCCAGATCTGGTATTATCATGTCGTGAGTGGTAGCACGCCTGCTCTGCGACAAGAGGCTTGCTTCACCACAGCTCAGGTAATGACGAGCGTCGTAGCCTGGCCACAGAGCACAGTCAACCTAGAGGAGGGGTCAACTCTCGGAGGCTGTATCTTCAACCTTGGAGGCGACACCATCAATTACTACGACCTGAAGGCGCAATATGCCTACGAGCTCTGGCTCGACATTTGCGATGGCCTGACCACATCGACAGAGTCGTCCACCACTAGCTTGACTCATAGCTCGACGGGTAGCTCCAGCACGACCCTCTCTTCAACCACACGGACAACTTCCTCGACAGTGTCATCGACATCTGATACCTCCACCACGACTAAGAGCACGACATCGCAGACTTCCACTTCGACTTTGAGTACGACATCCGAATCGTCGAGCACGACACGGTCATCGTCAACACAGAGTTCTAGCACGACGCTGACAACTACGTCAGACAGCTCTTCCACGACACTGACATCGACAACGGGTACCTCCTCTACGACATTGAGTTCGACATCCGAGACTTCTAGCACGACGATGTCCTCGAGCACGACGCTGACAACTACGTCAGACAGCTCTTCCACGACACTGACATCGACAACAGCGACTTCGAACACCATGACCGTGTCTTCTACTACGACCGTCTCCTCCACATCTGGAACCTCGACCGCCTCTTTCAGCTCGACGTCTCAGACTTCCTCTACGACTTTGAGTACGGCATCCGAGACGTCGAGCACGTCACTGTCATCGACAACAGGGACCTCCACTACGAGTTTGTTTACGACAACCGGGACTTCTAGCACGACGATGTCTTCCAGTACGAGCATCTCCTCTAGCACGACAGGGACAACTACTTCTGACACTTCTACTACGACCCTGTCGTCGACAACGGATACATCCGATACAACGACCATGTCTTCTAGCACGACCGTCTCCTCCACGTCTGGAACGTCGGCTACGGACACCAGTACCAGTACACTGACATCGACAACAGGGACATCCGTTACCACGACCATGTCTTCTAGCACGACTCTTCAGACTTCCTCGATGACTTCGGGTACGACATCCGAGACGTCTACCACCACAGAGACCTCCAGCACGACTGCGAGTACGACGTCCGAGACTTCTAGCACGACTATGTCTTCCAGTTCGACACGAACAACTGCTTCGGTCTCCTCCACCACAACCGCAACTGTGACCCCGAATTACGTCTTGCTGGATGCTGGCGAGACGTGCGAGTCGCAGGGCTATGAAGAGATCCCGGATTCTCAGACGTGCTTCGTGGATGCGCAGAGCAGAGTCGCAGACCTCTCTACGGTGACCCAGACTTTTTCAGTTCCTGCCGAATCCTTTTCCTGCTCGTTTCAGTACGGCTTTCTTTTCTTTGGCAACGGAGCCGCTGGAGCCGCTGACGACGGAAGACGCTACGTCTGCCAAGGAGTGCCACCAGAGACTTCGACTTCTACCGGGACGACCGCAAGCACGTCCGTGACAACTAGCACCCAAAGATACGATCCCACCAACGTGACCTATCCAGACATTTGCCAGATCTGGTATTATCATGTCGTGAGTGGTAGCACGCCTGCTCTGCGACAAGAGGCTTGCTTCACCACAGCTCAGGTAATGACGAGCGTCGTAGCCTGGCCACAGAGCACAGTCAACCTAGAGGAGGGGTCAAATCTCGGAGGCTGTATCTTCAACCTTGGAGGCGACACCATCAATTACTACGACCTGAAGGCGCAATATGCCTACGAGCTCTGGCTCGACATTTGCGATGGCCTGACCACATCGACAGAGTCGTCCACAACTAGCTTGACTCATAGCTCGACGGGTAGCTCCAGCACGACCCTCTCTTCAACCACACGGACAACTTCCTCGACAGTGTCATCGACATCTGATACCTCCACCACGACTAAGAGCACGACATCGCAGACTTCCACTTCGACTTTGAGTACGACATCCGAATCGTCGAGCACGACACGGTCATCGTCAACACAGAGTTCTAGCACGACGCTGACAACTACGTCAGACAGCTCTTCCACGACACTGACATCGACAACGGGGACCTCCTCTACGACATTGAGTTCGACATCCGAGACTTCTAGCACGACGATGTCCTCGAGCACGACGCTGACAACTACGTCAGACAGCTCTTCCACGACACTGACATCGACAACAGCGACTTCGAACACCACGACCGTGTCTTCTAGCACGACCGTCTCCTCCACGTCTGGAACGTCGGCTACGGACACCAGTACCAGTACACTGACATCGACAACAGGGACATCCGTTACCACGACCATGTCTTCTAGCACGACTCTTCAGACTTCCTCGATGACTTCGGGTACGACATCCGAGACGTCTACCACCACAGAGACCTCCAGCACGACTGCGAGTACGACGTCCGAGACTTCTAGCACGACTATGTCTTCCAGTTCGACACGAACAACTGCTTCGGTCTCCTCCACCACAACCGCAACCGTGACCCCGAATTACGTCTTGCTGGATGCTGGCGAGACGTGCGAGTCGCAGGGCTATGAAGAGATCCCGGATTCTCAGACGTGCTTCGTGGATGCGCAGAGCAGAGTCGCAGACCTCTCTACGGTGACCCAGACTTTTTCAGTTCCTGCCGAATCCTTTTCCTGCTCGTTTCAGTACGGCTTTCTTTTCTTTGGCAACGGAGCCGCTGGAGCCGCTGACGACGAAAGACGCTACGTCTGCCAAGGAGTGCCACTAGAGACTTCGACTTCTACCGGGACGACCGCAAGCACGTCCGTGACAACTAGCACCCAAAGATACGATCCCACCAACGTGACCTATCCAGACATTTGCCAGATCTGGTATTATCATGTCGTGAGTGGTAGCACGCCTGCTCTGCGACAAGAGGCTTGCTTCACCACAGCTCAGGTAATGACGAGCGTCGTAGCCTGGCCACAGAGCACAGTCAACCTAGAGGAGGGGTCAAATCTCGGAGGCTGTATCTTCAACCTTGGAGGCGACACCATCAATTACTACGACCTGAAGGCGCAATATGCCTACGAGCTCTGGCTCGACATTTGCGATGGCCTGACCACATCGACAGAGTCGTCCACAACTAGCTTGACTCATAGCTCGACGGGTAGCTCCAGCACGACCCTCTCTTCAACCACACGGACAACTTCCTCGACAGTGTCATCGACATCTGATACCTCCACCACGACTAAGAGCACGACATCGCAGACTTCCACTTCGACTTTGAGTACGACATCCGAATCGTCGAGCACGACACGGTCATCGTCAACACAGAGTTCTAGAACGACGCTGACAACTACGTCAGACAGCTCTTCCACGACACTGACATCGACAACGGGGACCTCCTCTACGACATTTAGTTCGACATCCGAGACTTCTAGCACGACGATGTCCTCGAGCACGACGCTGACAACTACGTCAGACAGCTCTTCCACGACACTGACATCGACAACAGCGACTTCGAACACCATGACCGTGTCTTCTACTACGACCGTCTCATCCACATCTGGAACCTCGACCGCCTCTTTCAGCTCGACGTCTCAGACTTCCTCTACGACTTTGAGTACGGCATCCGAATCGTCGAGCACGACACGGTCATCGACAACAGGGACCTCCACTACGAGTTTGTTTACGACAACCGGGACTTCTAGCACGACGATGTCTTCCAGTACGAGCATCTCCTCTGGCACGACAGGGACAACTACTTCTGACACTTCTACTACGACCCTGTCGTCGACAACGGATACATCCGATACAACGACCATGTCTTCTAGCACGACCGTCTCCTCCACGTCTGGAACGTCGGCTACGGACACCAGTACCAGTACACTGACATCGACAACAGGGACATCCGATACCACGACCATGTCTTCTAGCACGTCTCTCTCTTCCACTTCCCCGACCTCGACTACGACGTTGAGCACGACTTTGTCCAAGACTTCTAGCACGACTCGGTCTTCCAGTTCGACACGAACAACTGCTTCGATCTCCTCCACCACAACCGCAACCGTGACCCCGAATTACGTCTTGCTGGATGCTGGCGAGACGTGCGAGTCGCAGGGCTATGAAGAGATCCCGGATTCTCAGACGTGCTTCGTGGATGCGCAGAGCAGAGTCGCAGACCTCTCTACGGTGACCCAGACTTTTTCAGTTCCTGCCGAATCCTTTTCCTGCTCGTTTCAGTACGGCTTTCTTTTCTTTGGCAACGGAGCCGCTGGAGCCGCTGACGACGAAAGACGCTACGTCTGCCAAGGAGTGCCACCAGAGACTTCGACTTCTACCGGGACGACCGCAAGCACGTCCGTGTCAACTAGCACCCAAAGATACGATCCCACCAACGTGACATATCCAGACATTTGCCAGATCTGGTATTATCATGTCGTGAGTGGTAGCACGCCTGCTCTGCGACAAGAGGCTTGCTTCACCACAGCTCAGGTAATGACGAGCGTCGTAGCCTGGCCACAGAGCACAGTCAACCTGGAGGAGGGGTCAAATCTCGGAGGCTGTATCTTCAACCTTGGAGGCGAAACCATCAATTACTACGACCTGAAGGCGCAATATGCCTACGAGCTCTGGCTCGACATTTGCGATGGCCTGACCACATCGACAGAGTCGTCCACAACTAGCTTGACGCATAGCTCGACGGGTAGCTCCAGCACGACCCTCTCTTCAACCACACGGACATCTTCCTCGACAGTGTCATCGACATCTGATACCTCCACCACGACTAAGAGTACGACATCGCAGACTTCCACTTCAACTTTGAGCACGACATCCGAATCGTCGAGCACGACACGGTCATCGTCAACACAGAGTTCTAGCACGACGTTGACAACTACGTCGGACACCTCTTCCACGACAGAGTCATCGACAACGGGGACCTCCTCTACGACATTGAGTTCGACATCCGAGACTTCTAGCACGACGATGTCCTCGAGCACGACGCTGACAACTACGTCAGACAGCTCTACCACGACACTGACATCGACAACGGAGACCTCCGACACATCGACCGTGTCTTCTAGCACCTCGTCGTCGACGACAGGCACGTTTGGCGAATACCGCCGGTACGTCTGCAAGGGGGAATCCGTAGGGCGCCAATTGTACACCTACACGGGCTCTGCCAAGGCCAGTCTTCGGGCAAGGATCGGTGCATTTGCCTCCCTGGCCAAGCCAGGAGGTCGTATGCACTGATCCTGGATTCAGGACGGGCCTGGCCAGGATCGGTGTTAGTGTATAGTTGGTGCCCTCCTAGGAGCCCGAGACGATTGCGTCCACGGAATCAGCCACCGCGAGCTCGACTTCCAGCAAGACGGAAAGTTCCAGCACTACCATTTCTTCGACGACTGAGACCTCTACCACGACTGCGACTACGAGATCTGGGACCTCCAGCACGACTGTGAGTACGATGTCCGAGACTACTAGCACGACAATGTCTTCAAGCACGACCGTCTCATCCACATCTGGAACTTCGTCGACGCCAACGACATGGACAAGCATGTCGGACACATCCACCAGCACCGAGACCTCCACCACCACCGCGTCAACCCTCACAGAGACTGTGAGTTCGATCACGACACGGTCATCGTCAACACAGAGTTCTAGCACGACGTTGACAACTACGTCGGACACCTCTTCCACGACAGAGTCATCGACAACGGGGACCTCCTCTACGATATTGAGTTCGACATCCGAGACTTCTAGCACGACGATGTCCTCGGGCACGACGCTGACAACTACGTCAGACAGCTCTGCCACGACACTGACATCGACAACAGCGACTTCTGACACCACGACCGTGTCTTCTAGTACGACCGTCTCATCCACATCTGGAACCTCGACCGCCTCTTCAAGCTCGACGTCTCAGACTTCCTCTACGACTTTGAGTACGGCGTCCGAGACGTCGAGCACGTCACTGTCATCGACAACAGGGACCTCCACTACGAGTTTGTTTACGACAACCGGGACTTCTAGCACGACGATGTCTTCAAGCACGACTGTGAGTACGATGTCCGAGACTACTAGCACGACACTGTCTTCAAGCACGACCGTCTCATCCACATCTGGAACTTCGTCGACGCCAACGACATGGACAAGCATGTCGGACACATCCACCAGGACCGAGACTTCCACCACCACCGCGTCAACCCTCACAGAGACTGTGAGTTCGATCACGACACGGTCATCGTCAACACAGAGTTCTAGCACGACGTTGACAACTACGTCGGACACCTCTTCCACGACAGAGTCATCGACAACGGGAACCTCCTTTATGATATTGAGTTCGACATCTGAGACTTCTAGCACGACGATGTCCTCGGGCACGACGCTGACAACTTCGTCAGACAGCTCTACCACGACACTGACATCGACAACGGAGACCTCCCTCACATCGACCGTGTCTTCAAGCACGACCGTCTCATCCACATCTGGAACTTCGTCGACGCCAACGACATGGACAAGCATGTCGGACACATCCACCAGGACCGAGACCTCCACCACCACCGCGTCAACCCTCACAGAGAGTCTCAGCTCGCGAGCGAGTACGGCATCCGAGTCATCCAGCACAACAGGTTCAACGGACACAGGTACGCCCAATACGACTTCGATCACAGTGACAGGGACCATCACAGCGAGTGAGAGCACGACATCCCCCGCGGTGGAGACGACGGGTGCTGCGACCACGGCGCCAGCCGAAGACAGCACATCCCAGGCGGGGACATCTGGCACCCAGGAGGCCACCACTCTGGTGTCGGAGACGACAGGTGAGCGACGCAGGAAAACTGGGCCGCCTGCGTGGACGCTGGCGCGCAAGCTTCCCGCGCGAGGTCGCGCGTGAGTGCCCTTGTCCTCCACGCGGTGTGCCACGCTGGCGGCCCGCTTAAGCTGCGGCGCAAGGTCCCTCTGTGCCTGCCTGCGCACGGCCCGTTTCTCTCTTCGTCGCCCAGGTGGCGTTATCTCTGACGCTCTCGCGGATCCGCCGGGCCCTTCCAGAAGGCCGAGGAGAACACAGCCACACAGATCGGCCGCTCGTACGAGTGACCTCTCGCTGGAGTGACCCGCCGCGCGGCTCTCGGGGGGGGCGCGGGTGGGGCCAGGCTCGCGCACGCGGGCCGCCACCGTCGCACCGCGTGCTTCCGTCGGCGGGCCCCGCGCCGGAGGTCACTCCTGCTGGCCGAAGAAGCGGAGGCCATGGACCCCCCCCTGGCGGGCATGGGTCATGGGCCGAAGCCGAAGGGCCTTCCGATGCCGAGGGCAGTGGGCGTTCCAATCGCCCTCGAATTCCGAACGTACGCATGCCATGCAGACAAACGTGCTGATCCTGGGCCGGCATTCCGCCCGAGCAGAAGGTGCGAGGTGCTGGATGCGGGTCCCCACTCAGCTCGTCCCCCCCGCCCGTCGCGCCCCCACCGCCTGAAGCCGTTCCCCCGTCGCCCTCCCGAGAGGTCTGAGAGTGCGCCTTTCTTCCGCCAAAGGACCCGAGGAGGGCCAGTTGAGACATCGCCCGCTCAAGTTCGATCCCCGGACGCCTCCCGGGCTCCGTCCGGACCCGCTCTTCGAGGCGGCTCCGGCCGCGGCGACGAGGGGCCCACGGGAGGCTCGTGATGGACGATCGCGCGCTTGGGGAGGGCCGCCGCGGTCTCGGCCGGCCCTCGCTGAGAACGAGGAGAACGAGGTGGAGGGCGCTGCAGTGCCAAGGCCTGACCTTCTACAAGCAGCCCGCATAGTAAGGGTGGGCAGCCTTCCCGAGGGTACGCTTGCATCCTTGCCTCCTCAGTCCAGCCTTGGCCACTTTTGCTGGCCGCGCCCCGCTCGAAAAGCCTCGAAATGGCCTTCCAAGGCCCTTGCATCCTTGCCGCGCGTCCTTACGAGACGGGTTTACCGTATATCGAGCGCTGCGCTCCGAGCCGTGCTTTATCGGATCATAGCCACCAAGGCGCGACAGCTCAAGCAAGCCTACGCTTGTCCACCGTGAAAAGTCTAGGCCGCCTCGATGGGGTCGGAGTAGATGGGGTCGGAGGATCGCGCCGCATCGCCGATGCATTGACGATGCGGCTCGATGCGGAGCCCGATGTTCTTCACGCCGGCGTCGCCGATACACCGCCGACGTTGGCGATACATCGCCGATGCATTGCCGATGGAAAGGCGACGCGGCGCGATCCTCCGACCCCATCTACTCGGACCCCAGCTAGGAGGCCCCTACAAAAAGATGGTGGGCGAGGAGTTGGAGGGGCAGGAGTTCCCCGAAGAGGGGCGAAACAAAGGCCCCCTCAAAGGGCTCGGAAGTCCCCACCCTCCTCCCTCCGCCTCCTCCTCCTCCTCCTCCTCCTCCTCCTCCTTTTTCTCCTCCTCCTTCTCCTTCGCCTTCTCCTTCTCCTTCTCCTTCTCCTCCTCATCATTCCCATCCTCCTCCTCCCCTTCTCCTCCTCCTCCTCCTCCTCCTCCTCCTCCTTCCTCCTTCCCCTCTTCTCCTCCTCCTCCTCCTCCTCCTCCTCCTCCCTCCCTCCTCCTCCTCCTCCTCCTCCTCCTCCTCCTCCTCCTCCTCCTCCTCCTCCTCCTCCTCCTCCTCCTCCTCCTCCTCCTCCTCCTCCTCCTCCTCCTCCTCCTCCTCCTCCTCCTCCTCCTCCTCTTGGGTCGAGGATCGAGGAGCGGGGCTCTGAGGGGGGCTGGCGGCGAGGGCCTCACTCTCTCGAGGCGCCCCCGCGGGCTCGCACCGTCGTTCCCCGGCGGCGCGCCTCCGCGGCCCGACGGTTATAGCTGTTCGACGCGGTCACGCCCAAGCCTCCGACGGTGTGCAGGAGGAGGAGGAGGAGGAGGAGGAGGAGGAGGAGGAGGAGGAGGAGGAGGTGGAGGAGGAGGAGGGTAGGAGAGGAGGAGGAGGAGGAGGAGGAGGAGGAGGAGGAGGAGGAGGAGGAGGAGGATCAGGAGGAGGGGAGGAGGGAGGAGGCGGAGGGGGGGAAAGAGGCGGAGGAGGAGGAGGAGGAGGAGGAGGAGGATGAGGGCCCAGTGTTCGATCGCACACGCTGTGCCTTTGTTACGGCCTCTGTACCCCGTTAGCGGAGCGGGCCCCGAGGCAATGAAACACAGATCGGGGACGACTCCATGTTCCTCAGGGAACGGGGTCGGGACCTCCGGGGCCGCAGATTGAGCAGCACGTCGGAGGATGTCTGGATGCGCGTTCGCTCGAATTTTCGGGGGCAATTCTTGGGCGTGCTTGGGGCCCTCCTCGGACAGGGAGAGGCCTGTGCTCTCAGCCTGCTGCTCGCCTCCCCTGTAGACGGTGACGGCGACGGTAGCCGTGGCGACGAAGATGGCTGCGATGGCGGAAATGACCATGAGGATGCCGATGCGGATGACGGCGATGATGGGTAGGCATATCAAATAACGAATGTTTGTCCACGACGCCGATGACGTGACGAAGACCTGCGAGCGCCGCCCTTAGAGTTCCAGGAAGCCGCGCGGGCCCGCGACTTCCGTGCAGGGGTAGAGCTATGTCCCACTGGGTATGTTGCAACATGTAGTTGTCGCTTCATGGCGTTCTCTAACGATCTGTTTCCGCTGCACTTTCTGGCGGTGTCTTGCAGACCTCCTCAGGCTTCTGGAACTCCCGTTCAGGCCCCACCACTTTCCTGCTTGCTGCGCCCTGCACCGAAGATGCCTTCGCGACTCGCCCAGTATCTTTCGATGGCCCCGCCAGGCTCCTCTCAAGGATTGCGCAGGGTGCTGCGGCCGCCGCGCGTCTCCCGCGCTCTCTCCGCGGCAAGCCTCGAGGAGCACCGCTTCTTGGCACCGGACGTCTGCGCACAGGCGCCTGGGCCCGCCGAGATCCCCTGCTGGTCTCCCTACGCTTGCCACTGGCGTCTTGCACTGCCAGGGGTCATCGCGTCCATTCGTGCTCGAGCCTTCCAAAAGGCAACACACGTTGGAGGAGCCGCTCTCCTCCGCTATTCTTGGGGTCCCGGACCTCTTGAAGCTCGGGGCTCTCCCGGGTCCTCCTTTGGGACCAGAGCACCCTTGAGCCATTCCAGGGTGTTGGTGGGCGCCCTCTTGAACCGCCTAGGGCTTGCTTGGTCGGGACCGTCCCGTAGCTTTGATAGGCCCCTGTTTTGCTCACATGGGGCCCTGGTGGGCTCCTCTTGGGCCCCCTACTGAGCCTCCTTGAAGCCCTCTCGGGCCACCCTGCGGCCGTCTGAAGGCTTCCCGAGATCTTCCGAGTGTTTGGGCCACCGCCCAGAGGGCCGTCACATGTGGCACCTCTCGGCTTCATTCCTTGAGGTATTCTCGAGGGGGCTGCCTGCGCCGTCTTGGGGCTGCCTTGGGCTCGTGTGGAGCCCTCGTGAGGTCCTCTTGAGATTCTCTTGGGCCGCCTCGTTGCTGCCTTGGGCCGCCCGCAGTCTGTGGAACGCTGCTGATTGCAGCGAGCATCGTATGGGTAGGGGATGGTTTGGGGAAGCTGTCTCGGTGCCGTTCTCCTGACGCTATTCATCTGAGTTTTTCTCCTCCTGTTCTGCTGCGTGACTCCATCCTCCCCACGCGCGCACATAGTTACACGGTCATGCGCACGCGCGCGCCCGCCCACGTACGCGCACGCGCTCGCGCACGCACCCAAGTGCACCCACTCGCCTGCATACACTCCACACACACACACACACACACACACGCTGCGCTACGACACATGTGGCAGGGCGTGTAAGCGACGGGCCCCGTTTGAGAGCAAGGCGAGAATACAGTGCTAGCATCCCCGCGCTGCGGCCCGTACTCCTCCGCCTCCTCAAGCTCTGAAGGGGGCTTCGACCCATTGCAGCATTCTTACACGGGACATCGTCCTCCTCCTCCTCCTCCTCCTCCTCCTCCTCCTCCTCCTCCTCCTCCTCCTCCTCCCCCTCCCCCTCCCCCTCCTCCTCCTCCCCCTCCTCCTCCTCCTCCTCCCCTCCTCCTCCTCCTCCTCCTCCTCCTCTCCTCCTCCTCCTCCTCCTCCTCCTCCTCCTCCCCCTCCCTTCTCCTCCCTCCCTCCCTCCTCCTCCTCCCTCCCTCACTCCCTCCCGGCTCGCGCTGCAGACATGGTATCTCTCTAGCACCCACTTCTTCGCGGGGAGGGGGGGGGGGGGCAGCGTTCCAGCAGTCCACGGCAGGCGCTCGAGCATCCGCGTGGACGAGGGGCAACGCCTCAGCAGCCCACGCGGTGTCGCTCCATCGCATTTCCTGTGGGGAACGCTCCTTGAGCTCACGACTACAGCAAGGGTGCGCTCCGGCGCTGCATCTCTGTGTCGAGCGCGGGCGTTTCAGCAACCCACGGCGTGCCCTCCAACATTACATCTTTACCGAGTGTGCCCTGTTTCCCCATTGCCGCGTCCTTCCTCTCTCCTCCCCCTGCACGGTGGCACAGGTTCGCCCTAACGACATCCCCGTTGAAGCCTCTCATCGCCAGCGCAGCCACCCTCTGCCAGGTCACCGACGCAAGTCAGGAGGGAAAAAAACACGCAGACACAAATGATCGCCGATTCCCAGGAAAGTATGGGAAAAACTGCGGGAAGTGGGGGGGGAAGACAAAACCCCAGAGGTATAGGAACACATGGGGATCTGTTTTTCTGTGTGCGGACTTCTCTGTGTGTCCTGGGGGCCCCTGCAGCAAGATGTTCACCGAGTGCGGGCGCTCCAGCGAGGAGGAGGAGAAGGAGGAGGAGGAGGAGGAGGAGAAGGAGGAGGAGGAGGAGAAGGAGTAGGAGGAGGGGAAGGAGGGGGAGGAGGAGGAGGACAGCCGCCCGCGGCGGGCGCTGCAGGCACTGCGCGCTCGCCGAGCGCGCTGGTTCCGGCGGCCGGCGGCGTGCGCTCGAGAGCTGCACCTTGACTGCTGGCCGGGCGCGCGCGCTTCCGAGCCTCGGCCTCGGGCAGAGCAGGCGAGCCAGCCGTGCCCGAAGGATTGCAAAAAAACACAACGAAGGATTGCAAAACAAGGATTGCAAAAAAAACCCAGGATTGCAAAAAAAACGAAGGATTGCAAAAAGGATTGCAAACAACCTTTTTTGCAAAAAACCTTCGACAAATTGCAATCCTTCG